GGCTGAACACACATATCAGTAACCGAAACCGAATGGACACCCATACCTGATCGCAGAGTAGGAGAATGAAGAAGAAATGAGGCTTGCATCTGAGAAATTACAGGTAGTGCCAAGTCTGTCCCCTTAGTTGGCATTTGCAGTGAGATGGTTAAGTTAAATTTTCACCTTTGTCAAGTCGTGCCACCAGAGAAGCTTGTTCCTGTTCCTTCCTTTCTGGCCTATCTTCATAGTCCACCGGAAATTTTTGTGCCTTTATACCAACTCTGTTTGTGTTCTGAGAGGTTGTAGTTGCTCCCTCATGGAAGGGGGGTGTGATAAGCTCAACGTCTGAAGTCGTACCTTCTATCCTCCTCATCTCCCCTTCTTCCTCTTGAGAGATTCCTTCTAAGAATGGAACCTCGGTATTGAAGCTTCCTTCCTGTAACATATCCACGTTTTCTTGCAAATCAATACTTCCCAAACTCGTTGTATCAGTCGAATCTTCATCATCGCCACCTTCTTCATTTGTGTCTTCATTGTCTTCAAGAAGCTCAAAATCTCGTCGTTTCATGCTTCTGGGGTTCCGCCTGTCCGGAGAAAGAATATTTGACCTCTTGGCCGGAACCTATTGCAGGTAGGTCGGGGCCGATAGACGATTCCTACCATCTATTGGAGCTCTCCCCTTCCCAGGCGTGTGTGACTTAAGTGAGTCACGTGACCCACTTACCTGAGCCTTGGCTTGGGCCAACTTGATTTGCGGCCCACCTTTTGTTCTTTGAGCAGGCCCATCAAAATTTTGAGGCGCACTCGAGCTAATAAGCTTTGGCACGTGAGTCTTCACAAAGTTACGCTCAGTGCCCCTTACCCCGAAATCAGGTTCACCCTTTTTTGGTTCAACCCGGTCTGATTCCTTAACCTTCCTTCTGTAACTTGATTTTGAATCAGAGATTTCACCTCCTTTTACCACCTGAGTACAAGATTTACCGCCCTCCCTACTGAAAACTTGCTCTCCACATAGTTGACCTCCCAGCTCTGTTCCTTGACCTTTGCCATTTTGACCTTCCTGTCTGCCGAAACCTTTAGACAGTCCTAATGGCTGCCTATCCAAATTTGTGAAAGTCTTAACTTTCTCTGAGTGCCCTACCCCCAACTTGCCACACAGCTCTAGCCATTCTTTCCTTTCATCCTCAACCTATCAAGCCTCCCTCCATAGACTAGCTTCAATGGAGGAGGCCAACCACACCGGATGAAAAACCCCTTCAACATTAATACTTATCTTTCTGGGTATATCTTCAGGCTTAACTCCACTCAACAACAAGGCTGCCGACCATAGGTCTCCCCAAAACTCTCCATCAAGACGGGCACCACATAACATTGCAATGGAGGCTGCTATCTCATGATTCCACAGGTGGAAAGGCAGCCCAATCACTTGAATAATCACACCATCTTCCTGAGAAGAACTTGGAGTTCGACGAAGGAGACCACTTAAACAAAGTAAAAGAACCTAATGCATCCTGAAAGCTCAGAGCTTTAACTTCAATCATATTTTCAACAGGATCAAGTAAAAACCTTAAAACTGTTAAAGGGGGTCAGGATAAAGGTGGTTCTCAGGTTCAATTTTTGTATTAACAGATCAGCAACTTTCCTCCACTCCAAGATTGGACTATTGGCCTCTAGCACCAACATGTCCTCCCAACATTCTTTCCTTACATTGACAGTCATTGTGGGGAGGCTCTGACAGTGTGCCATAACAAAAATATCCTTCTTTTGCACCTCAGCATTAGTCTTTAACACTGTGGCAACCTCCTTCCATCCTTGACCATTTTTTCCTTGAGGAAAGCAGACCATTTGCTTCTTACCTTTAGCAAAAAATTCAGACAAAGAGATGTATGAACCTTTTGAGTTTCTTTTACACTCCAGCAGGTAACTTCTTCCTGTCTCCAAGGACCATTCCTGCCTACTTGGTTTTTTTCCTCTATTTGCTGCCTCCAACACAAACTCCATCAGCCATTCAATCATCACCTGTCCTTGAACCAAGACCATAGCCTTTGTCATTTCCCGAATCTTTAGGCTAGAGTGTCCCTTAATCTTCAACTCCTCGAAGAGAAAATCTTTAGCTTCTATTCTCAAGGACTTCCTCCATCGTGCAATCTCCACAAAGCCTCTGCTCTCCATGTCTGCAACTCTACTTCCCACACCACCTAAGTGCCTAACACTCTTGGAATCGCATCTATTGCTTCCCCACAATTCTCTCAATTTTCACATTGCTCTATTGTCACATTGCTCTTGTCTCCTTTCATCTCTCTTCTTGGTGTGGTCTACTCAATTCATTAACAAACACATCAAGGACTACAGATCTATCAATTGTATACTCTTTAAGACATAGTTATTTTCATGTGCAGGGGGCTACTACCATGGGGTTCAGCAATCCTACTAATTAAGTACCCAAGTTTTCCTCTTCCTCCCACAAATAACTTAACATCCTTGGACCATTCCAAGTAATTCAATCCATCAAGAGGAGGGATAGAAATTGGAAAGTCCACACTTTCCACAACATTACTTTTTATAACTCTAGTAGCTCAAGCTATAACAAGTAATGTTGGTAGGCACAATATCATTCACATCAATCACTCAACAAGTTTCAAAACAAAACACGTGCACTTGGACCATTCCAAGTAATTCAATCACTCAGGAGGACTAGAAATCGGAAAATCCACATTTTCCACATAACATTACTTGTTAGGTAGGCACAATATCATTCACATCAATCACTCAACAAGTTCCAAAATAAAGCACATGCAGTAATAAGTATTATACCAGTCAAAACAAACCACCATTGAGTACCAACAACTAGCAAATACATTTCTGTCAAAGCATTAAACACTAATCAGTTGTCCATAAATCTGTCCACCAAAGAGAAAGACATTTCAGTTTACTGCTGGATATGGAATGGTCTGCACAAACATTACCTCCAGTCAAACCATGGAAGACTTCTTAGTTTTCTCTGGTCTGTAAATACATGAGCATGAATGATTGTTGTAGAGACTAAAGTCTCACCTTCTACTTTTCAGGGATACCCTCGTGTATTCAGCCACAAAGAAACTGCTATACACCGTATGAACTGATAATCAGATCAAACATTTCCAAAAAGGTCCTTAGACCTCCATTATAGGTCTCAACTCCCACAAGAAATATCCTTGGTTCTATGACAAAGGAAAAAAAAAAATAGAGAAAAGAAATTTGTTGTTTTCCATCAGTCCAAGAGAAGTCTTAGATCTGCCTTGTTTTAATCACCACTCACCAGCACAGTAGAAACAATAGAAGATCAAGAACGTGAGATCAATTAGATCTATAGTTGAACCTGCTCTGTTACCATGTCAGAATGTCAGCCATAGGAATAGAGAGTAAAGAGGGAAGAGACACGAAATTGAGAGAGACAAAAGGTATGAGTGGCAATACCCACTGATTATTTTATTAGAATGAATGAGCATAATGGAGCAAAGTGACTAGTTTATCCTTGCATCACTAATACACAAGTTACAATAGGGGGGATCCATTGCTTACGGTTTTCAGTGTATATGTTGATGATATAGTAGAGACAACATTTCACAGATAGAGAAGTTCAAGCAATTTCTGTTTGTAAGTTTGATATTAAAGACTTAGGAGACGGGGAGCTTCAATATTTCCTTGTCATGGAAGTAGCCAGATCAAAGCATGGCATATTTATCTCACAAAGAAAATATCTTGGACTTGTTAACAGAAACAAGGAAGTTAGGAGTTAAGGCAGCTAATAAAACCATTGGTCCAAATTACAAGTTGTTTTGTTCAACAGGAAAACCACTTGAAGATAAAAGGATGTTTTGGTGTCTAATTGGCAGGCTTTTATATGCATGACTCTACCTAACATTTCTTATGCAGTCAGTGTGGTGAGCCAATTCATGCATACTGTTATAGATGTCCATTTGGTTGCTATAGAGAATCTTAACTTAAAAGAGGAAGCTTAGCAGAGAGATTCTGACATGAAGAATGAGGCATTCACATATGTAGACTGGGTTGGATCAATGATGAAGATGCTCCACCTCTACAAATTGTACTCTTATTGGTGGAAATCTAGTGTCATGCAGGAGCAAGGGATAGTCTATTGTGGCTCAAACTAGTTTAGAGGCTGAAAACAAAACTATGGCTCAAGGTATCCTAGAGACTTTGTAGGTTTGGGCATTGTTGAAAGAGTTGCGAGTTGAATATGATAGATTTATGATTTTGTACTGTATAGTCAAACATCAATTAATATTGCATACAATCCAATTTAGCATAATAGGACTAAGCATATCAAGGTGTATCAAGTTGGTAGCATCTGATCAAGTCCGCCTTTGTTTTGTAGCATCTGATCAAGTTGGTAGATACCTTTATAAAAGGAGCTGTCAAATTGAAGCTGAATCATAATGTAAGAAAACTGGGCATGATTGACATTTATGACCACCTTGGAGGGGAGCAATAACAGTGTCGAAATGGAAGTGGGAAGACCATGATTTCATGGAAGCCAGTTAAATTCATCATGTACTTTGTTGCTGTTTATAGTCGGGTAGTTATCTAATTTGATGTATCAATCAGAGAGTCAAACAAATGCTAGTGATAAAGGCACACACTCACATCTTACTCTCTCCAAATCAGCATTTGTCATCATTTATTATTCTTCTTTATTTTCTGATATTATATGAGAAGTTCTTTTTGCATAATACCTATGGATGAATTCTCAACATCCACTTTTTTGCATTTCTCTTATTTAATATTAATAAATAATAAAATTTGTTATGCAAAACAAAATTGAGCTTGCTGACAGGAGATCCAATTCAAAGTGACATGTACGCCTGCTCTAAATGGATTTTCCATGATCTTTAATATGAACAATTCATGAATTCAATTTATGAAAAGATTGTTTTGCACATTTTATTGGAAGACTTTACAAACAGATTTACTATGGCATGATTATTAGAAACATTCAAATGAATTAATGAGCATACCACATTGTCACTTCCTTTCAATCTCCCCAAAGGAGAATCTTTTGGAAGCTCTTGAATGCCAACATGACACCTGCTAAAAGAGAAGAATGTCACCACTACATGGCAGAAAATGGAATAGAAACAAAACAGAATGATTAAGAACCAACGGAAAAATAACTTAGAACCAAGGTATTAAAAACCAACCTGGAAATTGAACCACTTTGGCCTCCAGTTTCCAGGTTAGCAGTTCAAGTGTTCGGGTTGAACAGGACCCGTGATGTCATAAATATAGTTATAAAATATCTAATATTTAGAAAGTAGTTTCCTTTGTTTTTTTTTAATATAACAGTTATAATGTGCAAACATTGCTGTTTAGTACTGACCCAGTCACATTTCTTTGACGTATGATGAATTTGGAAAATGCTGTGCACCTTTCCTTTTATTTAGAAAATAGCTACCATTATATATTTTTTTAATAATAACAGCTATGTTCTGCCAACATTATGCTGTACAGGTTCAGTCAAACTTTTAAGACCTATGATGAATTTGGAAAATGCTAGGTACCTTTCATTTATTTATTTATATTTTATATTAAAGAAAGAGAATTAAAAAAAGAAAAACAGGACAAAGTGATTGATGGTTTTACTTAGATGACCAATCCACCCTTTTGAAGCTTTTACCTCTCATTCCTCTTGCATACCAAAAATAGGTGATGGTTGCCTTTGTTTCCATGTCAAATACTGGAAATTTTACTTTCCAACCATCATAGGAAATAAAAAAAGGGATCAAAATATTTTCCGTTTCAAATGGCATCACTGGTGGAAGAGATCAAGCCATAAAGGGAGTTGATGGTCGCCTTTGCTCATCACTATAAATGGCAGCCTTGGCTCATCACTGTAACCGCACAAGAGACAGAGGCAGTTGATAGTCACCTTGGCCATAGCCCTGGATCGCTGCTGCAGATGTCCTGAGTCATTGAGAGTTGAGTTTTCTCTCAAGAAAGAAGACTCAGTAAAGAAAGTATGAACTGAAATGTCTTTTTATTTATTTTATTTTTCTATTAAATTAATTTTAATTTCAAACTATTAACTGCTGCCCAGGTCAAACGGTCAACAGTTCAACCATCCGGGTCAATGGCAGTTCAAAAACCTTGAGTAGAACAAAATAGAGATTACTGGGGGGGGGGAATCATCCCTATTCCAAGCATGAAATGGCAAGTATAAGACCCATTTATAGAATTTAGATTTGGAAATATTGCAGCTTACAAACTGTTAGAAAAGTTGGAAAAAGTAAGATCTTGGAATCTACTGGGATAGAAAACCAGAAAGCCATGCTCAATTTTTTCTATGAGACATTCAACTAGAGACTCCTTTTTCTTATCAATAACTGAGCATTTTATTAATGCAAATTAAGAATTACAAATTACAAGCATTAGTGGAAGAGATGACAAGTTTTTATCTCCCTATACAACTTCACTTACAATTGTCCCCAAAAGATTTGCTCCCTCCCCACCCCTTGCTTGGCTAGTTCATCAGCCATGCTGTTGGCTGTCCATTGAACCCGTTGAAGTCTCACTTCATCTCCCTAGTCTACCATAAGAACTTTTTTAGCTCATTTCTGTACTGCCATAGGATTGCCTCCCCACTCTGCAACCACTCCGTCACCAACTTAGAGTCTCCATCAATAATTAGCTTATTTACATTCATCATTCTTGCTCTTTTCAACCGTTCCATAAAAACTGACCACCACTCTTAAAGAATCTCCTACTCCAATAGGTGCTGAAAATGGTGCCACAATATTCACTCTCTTATCCCTAAAAATGCCTTCAATCCCTGAAGGTCCTGGATTTCCCTCTCTTATCCCTAAAAATCTTCCCTTCTACAAGCAATAGAAAATGGTGAAAGTGCAACAGATTCTATGAAACTATTCCAATTCTTGAAAAGCCCCTTGCAGCACAAACTTGAACGAGGTTCTTCATATCGGCAGGCACTACCAATTGCATTACAAAAAACTTGATTTTTTTTTTATTTTTTTGGACTCCAAACTTTTACTCCTGGTGGAGGGGCAGCCTCCATAGTTTTTTTTTTAATGAAAAAAAAAAAAAAAACTATGAAGGGGGGCATAGAAAGCCTTACCCCTCAAGAAAAAACTATACACCAAAGTCCCCAACTCATAATAAATAAACAAAGAAGCATCCAGGGATTAAGGAAGAAGTGTAAAACAAAGATCTCAATCAGATCAAACGAAAGGAATGCCCAACTTGTTCTGTCAAAGGTTCTGAACAACATTACAAGACAAGTTGGTGAGAGAGCCAAAGAAAGCTGAAAAATGGCTATCATGACCCAGGTTAGCAAGTGAATCAGTTGCTTAATGACCTTCATGCAGGGTATGCTTCAATTCAAAGTGGATGCACTGCCTTAATTCCACTGCATCAGACCACTAACACCAAAGAGTGGGAGGAAAAGATAGACTCTAGTCAAAACTCTAGAATCAAAAAAGATAAGACTAGTCAAATCCAAAGCCTTAACAAGGTGTAGGCCATCATGCAAAGCAAAAGCTTCAGCCGCCAAGGTTTTAATGACACCATATTAATGGAACGAGGCAGAACGAAATTACCACCATCACCCCTTAACAAACACGAGAGCAGGAGGCTCAATGTAAACCAGTCTGACCTTTGCATGCTTAACTTCTTATGTGAATTCCCAGACTTTGGATGGACAGCTTCTCATGCCAGTTCATTTCCTTAAGAAAAGAAGATATGATAGAGAAGCTGCTGCCCCCATATTATTACTCGTCAAATGACTTGCTGGGAGCAACAAAATTTCCCTTCTCATTTTCTCCTATTGCGCTCTTTCCAGATTTTCCAAATGATAAAAAGAGGACATACATCAACCACCATCTCAAACTGGTTACCTTATACAGGTTCCTTCAAGCACACACCTATAGACTCCAAGGTAATATATTGAAAGCCTAGTACCTTGAGTAAAAAAGAACACCAATTCTCTGAATTTCTGCATCAACAACTATTCTTCTTTTCAGCACTCTCCATCAACAGCAAAAGTAAGATATCTTGGTAGGAACAATATTTTTCCTAACAAATTTATAAACACTATTTTTATCTTTATGACGCCAAATTACATTAAATGCAGATTTAAGAGTTAATCTATTATCATTATTATGCATCCACGTGATCTTATCATCTCTATATGACAATTGGGTGCTTCTTGTCTTAATAATATCAATAATACCATCAGAGAGACAATCTGCAACAAGGTCCAAATTCCAAACACCCATCCCTTGTCTTACGATTTACAATACGATTCATGATTTGAATCAAGAATCCCAAAGGTTTTGATTCTAATCTTATGTATGAATCCTTTTCTGCAAAAATCTTGCAATTCTCATTTTAATCCTACAATTGGTTCATAAATCTTCGAATTTATACGATTTCCACAATTCACTGAGGTTCAAATAAATTCAATTATGAATTATTTCTCTACTTTGGCATGTTTTTTATTTATATTCAGTTTTGTCAAGGGAGACTTTTTAAAGCCCTTACAAGAAAATAATATATTTATGTTATTTCGTTATTTAAGACTAGAAGTTGAGTTTATTTTCCATCATATGTAGCTTAAAGAGCCATTGTAGATTTATTTGACTTTCAAGTTAAACTTGATATCTTCGGATTTTATTGTATAAGTGGTAAATTCTATCATTTTAGGTACATATATGGTAGATACAAATTAAAAATAATGTACAGTCACTTTCCTATATATTTTAGCTTTCAAATATAACTATATTTAGTTTTTGTTGACAAGTTTGTAAAAACAGAAATAATCTTACAATTTACGATACAATTACAACTTTCAAAACATTGACTAAAAATAGTAATTACAAGAATTACTACAAATAGTAGGTCCAAGAGTTACCATAAATGGTAATTTTGAAACAGTAAAAAAATCTATAAAACAGAACCATGTTCTTAAGACACCAACAACTAGAAAATAAATATAAAAAAAAAAAACTGAAACAATACCAACTAACAATATCCCATAACCCAAAAATTCTGAAATTGATGTAGGAATTGGAAAACTGGTTTTTCCCCATGAATTATTTCCTTGCTTCTACATCTGCATAAGTATTCCAACTTCGAAAATTCTCTAGAGCAGTCTTAGAGCTCCTAGGAGGAGTTCTAGCAAGATGAATACGAGTATTTTGTAAATAAAACCACCAATTCTTCTTGCAAATTACGAAGTCTATATTCATTCTCTGGGTTCTCACCTTTCAAAGGTGATCAATGGTAAGTATCTTCTCAAGAAAACTGTCCACATGAAAACTGTCTATCAACTTTTATTCCATCAAAAATTAATACCAGTACAAGATTATCTCCCTTAGATGTCCCTATGATATAGACCAAGTCTTGTCATGGTTCCCATTTAATAATCTCAGGAGTCATTCTAGGTTTCAGCAATAAACAATCAAGTATACCAGCAGAAAGTTTCTAGAAGAGAAAAAGCAGGAAAAGAAAGAAGAGAGAGAGACAGGCGAAACAATAAGAGAGGAGAATAGGTCGTGGGTTCTGAGTTAGTCCGATATAATGAAGGAAAAAATTACATATGTGCCCCTGCTTAGGTGGCAGACTATAGTAATAACAAAAGATTTTATAGCAAGAATAGTCTGGAGTTGTATCCCTTTTGCTGTGTGTTGGGTCATTTGGAACAAGAGGAACAGGAAACTGTTTGAAGACAAATCCAAAAATATCAAGGCGTTGGTGGCCTCAGTAGGACATTTTGTCTCAGATTGGGTTCTGGTGCTCCCTGAGTTTGATCTGATTAGTAGATCAGGTTTGGGGGAGAATTTTTGGAATGTACCTGAAATCCAGAATTGTAACAGCCATTAGTATGCTTCTATTGGTTTTTAGTTGCTATGTTTGTAGAGGTGCCATCTTATCACCTCCTTTTTGTAATTTTTTTTCTGTTAATAAAATTACTGTTACTGCTCTGCAAAAAAAAGATGAGACTAGATGTCCATATATTCTATAGCTGAGTCTGGCACACCTTTGGTAAAAAAAAATCAGCCACCTGCTGATACATCTTCACATATGGAAGACACCTCTTCCAAAACAACCAGCTCACGAAAAAAATGATCATCCACCTCATCTGTTTAATTATTGCAATATGACACAAGAGGCTTCCTCCAAACAACCCCTAACTCCTCAAGTAAAGACCTCAGCCATAAGGCTTATAAAAGTCCACAGGAGATCACCCTATACGCATCCTCTACACTAGAAAGAGAAACTACAAATTGCTTTTGTTCTTCCAGTACACAATTTCCTCCAACAAAATCACAAAAACCAGATACAGGCTATATATGGTTATATAGAACTGATCAGATATGCCATTACCACAATGTTTTTTTATTTTTTTATCCTAGTTGTTGTTTCATGTCAACCAAATGACTGCTGACATCATTTGTATGGTCTGCTAACATTAGAAAACCTCAAACACATGAATCAGGAAGAACTCCTTCCCTTGTATTTCTCTGATACCAAATTTGATTGATTTTGGTCTGTTTAAAGGAAAAAGAAGTAAGAAGAGAGAAAAGAAATGAGAAGAAGAACCGTACAAGCAGAGCATTTTCTTGTCAGTCTATTCTCATTTGTATAATAAACAGCAAAAAAAAACTACAAGTATAGTATCGCAATAGTAAAATAATAAATAAACCTGTAAGTATAATATTACAAATTTACAACACATCAATATCCATATCTAGGTATCTTGGAGTCAAATAAAATTTTAAAATACCTTGACCCATCAATAACACAGACATAACGGAGCACATTCCCTTTTGAGGAAGCCACTTTAACTCTTTCATCAATACCCTCATCGAGCGAGGAAAGTCCACTGGACAAGAAGTCCTCCAAAGACATTTTATCAGGACCCATTTCAGCAGGGTACAAGCTTTCAACCTGAGAAAAATGGACATGAAATGAGAATCCTGTTATGTTCAAATAAGCTTACATATAAATCATAATTTCTTTTTTGATAGATATAAATATAAATAAAAAATAGTCAATTTATTTAATAAAAAGGAGTTGAACATGAACAATATCAATTATCCTGTTGTACACTAGAAATTAAGGAAATGCAATTCAATAGTAACCTTAATGTCATCCAAGTTAAGCCGTGCCCCAAGAAGTCGAGCAAGGATCAGAGCCTGTTTTGACAAACATAGATACCAGACAGTGAGGACAATAAGAATCAAACAGTTCATATTGAAAATTGCCTTGATTTGCCTTCAAAAGAAATTTTGACTTTTTAATTAAATAAGTAGATAATTAAGTTTTAGTAGACATCTAATTTTTAATCCTTGTTCAAAAGAATACAAAGTTTTGTTGTAAAATTATCTGTTTTGCTAATAATCCAATTCCAAATAGTGCATTATGTACACAGTTACATCATTGGCAGCACAGATGTATGACCTATTTGCAGATATGTTTCATCCATTCTAATATTTTTACAGATGGAGGAATTGAGAACACCAAGGAGCTTAAACTAGCTTTAGCATCTATTAGTTAAAAAATAACCAAACCTTTCTTGCAACATCCATCCCGCCAAGGTCATCACGAGGATCTGAAAGAACAAAATGAAACAATACCATAAGTCTATGTTCTGAAATATAACTATATATCCTTGGGAGATGTGATTCAACTTTTCATTGGAGATAAGAACCAACCATAAGTTGGAAATAATGAAATGAATATGAGAAAACTACAATAAGGAATCTAGTCATTAAATGACTGCATTAAGGGAAAAAGAAAAGGAAAAGACTAATTTGTGCTCAACCACGCAAAAATTAAAAGCTAAAAAGGTTGCTCTAATAAGGTCAGAATAACAAGAGGAAGAGAAATAAAATAAAAAAGAAAGAGAGAAATAAAGAAGACAGATTAGGGGTGAAAGAAGTGACTGAACAAGTGAGAATTACATAAATACCCCTATTTAATGAAAATTAAGGACAAGAATGTTCTTATTAAAGAAAGAGAAAGGTCAAAACTACTGTGATATCTAACATAGTTAACTGTCCATGATCTCTATATATGATACCCATACCAGTTGACCCCTTCAAATATCATAAAATCCTGAAGACAAAGGACTAAATTGATTGAGGCTAACATGTCCAACTCCAGACACACAAGACAAGGCACTATTAGCAAGGATAACATATTGAGAAGAAGACAATGAACTAAATTGAATGTAAAGAATTGGAGTCTGTAGTGAGAATGGGCCAAATGGGCCTTAACTTCTTTATTTCACTTAAGTTATGTTATGTTTGTGCTTTTTTCAGTTATGGGCCTCTTTTTGTTATTTTTATTATTGGCCACCCCATTAAGGGTAGTCCAGGGAATTGTATTCAGATTAGAATTAAAAGAATAAAAGATCTAACCGGGGGGCTAGAGAGAGGATCAAACTCTTCTCTTCTCTCTTCCCTTCTCTTCTTCTCTCATTTCCTTCCACAAACTTCTGCAGAAATTTCTCTCTTTTTCTTTTTATTCTCTTTTCTTTTTTTTCTCTTTTCTTTTTTCTCTTTTTCTTTTCCATACTTTCTGAATTACTACTGCAGGTGTGCTTTACAACTTGGTATCAGAACAGGTTCTCACCTTCGACATCTTTCTCCTTTCTTGGCCCATACACAATGTGTATGGAGAACTGATCGGGTGATTAATTAGCAGCTTATGTAGCCTAGTTGGGAGGGCTTTTGGAGAGGTT